AAGTGTTTCGAATCCGTTCATTTGATTTGGTGTAATTGATTCCGCATAATGATCGACATTCTGTACAAATAAAGTTGAAATACTCGAAGAATAAATTCTATTTCTTCTTACATGTTTCTCTCTTTCCATTCTCTTAGCGCTGTATAGTGATCACTTGGATGTCGTTTTTCGTATTCATGAATAATGTCTTCGATCATATTCACAGGACGATTGGCATGCCAAACATATTCATCTGAATAGGAAGAGAATTGTGTTGCAATCGTATAGAGAAGAATTCACTTTCAGCAAATTGAAGCGGCGCTGCTGGAATTGCTTGATAGATATTTTGTAACGTTAGTGGGCCATGCATCATTATTGTCGGTTTGGGTTTTGTTTGATTCTAAATAAATTCAAGTTCACAATGTTCTGTCCTTACGATTGATAAAATAGATCGAAAGAAAAGCGAGCGGAGGAATAATATAGTATTTTGTTACCTATCAATGATACACTACGAAATTCTAGAGGATGAACGAGAGTTACACGCATTTGAAGGAAGATCTTGAGTGGAATATAGGACATACTGATGTTGGGGATTGTGCTGCTGATATTCGTGGTTTTTTCTTCAGTGGTAACGAAATTCGAGCATCGTCAAAAGAAAGAGATGATAAACGAGTTCGAGGAGGCGTTTTATTGATTGGTGGAAGAAATAATTCGTTTGATTTTTCCTAAGCAAGAAGCATAGAGTTTGTTTTTGGGAAGAATCCAAGCATCAAGCGTAATCGTACCCGTATGAACATAGTTGAAAGTAATTTTTCAATAAAATCATAATATTTCAAACGTTTACAAAGCGTACGAAGTTTTATCAGTCGTTCTTGATCAAACGCAGTTAATACTATTGGTTCTTCATTTTCTCCTCTGCTGCTCTCGGGTGACAATATTCGTTTTGCAAGTGCCTCAAGTAATTGAAAGTCTTGTTCGCTAAAATTCGAAAAGATACTCGTTTGATTAGAACGGTGATTCGAGCAATTACCGTTCATATTTGACAATACTTGTGATGAGTTTATTAAATATGTGATTGATTCGATGACGATCTCTGTCATCGAGTATTTGTGACCGATCGAAAAGTCTAAATATTATCAAAATGATGATAGAGAAGAGGTTCGAAGACAATTTTACTTTGTCCACACTTGAACATCATCAGCTTCGAATTCGGACGAATATTTATTATTGTTTATGGAAGTATGATGTGCATTAGAATCAGGTAACTTGAACATGATTAATCTATTTGAGAAAGGTTAAAATAAAGTTTAATATTACGCATGCGCATATCAATCAATAACATCTACCATTTTAATACTTGTTGCTAATAACAACATCTTGTTCGAATTCGAAACTTCTCTGGTCAATCGATATTTTATTTATCATATCGATTTTGGGAAAAAAGAATGTTTCATCATTGGAATCATGCGAAATAATCAATGAACAATTTAATAGATGTCGTTAGATGCAACTCACTATCCTTTTCGACTTTGAATACCATATATTTCTAATAACAAATTCTCCACTGCACATGCTCTAAAACTGAAAAGTGAGAGAAATATTCACAGGGTGAGGCTGGGTGGGTGTATAGCAAAAATTGAATTCATTCCTAGATCTGTTTCTATGGGTGTGCATTCATATTGGAATTGATATTAGGCTGTTGAGAGGCCCAACACGAACAAAATCTGGTCTCATCCACTTCGCATGTTGAGGAAAGCCATTCTTCGTCGATTCGTGACAGAGACGCTAAATTATCTTCGGAAACGACCGGGCAAAAATGGTATGATTATTTCTTTCTTGGAACATGACGCAAATTTGTCTGAAGGTGCTGAAGCATCACCATCAGCACTTCATAGTTATTCGAATGCGCTCGAAACAGGTAGATTCTTTTCGATATTTGTCTTTGCTTACTATTCAATGGCTTTTTTCCAGAAAATTCGGATTTAGCGTTGGACTATGGGATAAGGACTTTCATGATTGGTACATTATTCGGTAGTGCCATTGTCTTTCTCTTATACAAATTTCGGCTCATTTAATTTTTTTCACGGTGATCAATTGAATGCCCATTCTTGATAATGAATCTCACCAATTATCACTTCTCTAAACCCAGTAAACTTTTTTCAAAACTTCGAATCATAGAAAAGCTAAATATATTGTAGAATCATTGCTGTTGTATGATCCAAGTCAATAGTATTGCAATTTCTGAATAAAAATTCAATAAAAAATTTTCATTTCCATATTTTTTCTCTTTTAATCAATGAAAGACCAAGATAAAGAAGAGCACAGAGGAGACGAACCAAATCGTTTGACGCCCATCAGAGATATAACCACACCGACTTTATTGGATGGACAACAATGATGAGGATGATCATCATCATCATCATCATCGTAAGGGTGTGGGTGTGCGTTTCATTTTTTGTACAAAAGATGTTGGACAGTGAAGATTCCATCTGAGGAAGTTCTTCTTCTTGTGTCTGACTTATTTGATATATGTCAAGTGTTCGTCATCATAGCGATATGTCACTCGACAACATAGTGATCCATTCGATTTACAGCTAACATCCTAGAAAAAAAGCAAAGGAACAAATTATTGTGCATTGGTTACTGCATGAGATTGGTAACTTACAACTATCTTTGCCATTGAATGAAAGTTGTTGACGATGAATATATCTCGGATCACAGAAACATTGTTCCCGACAACAATGAATCTAAACAATCGATCGAAAGATTTTCATGAGAACAAAAGTGGAAGAACAAACTCGATCTACACAACAGAACGCTTGGTGATATAGGCAGCATCTATATGATCCATTGATCAATAGACAACAAGTCATATCTTCTTGACATGAAGATTTTTCATCTGCAATATTCAATAGTTTTTTGAAGAATCGAATGAATAGGAGAGACAGATTCAAGCTTAACATTGGACCATTGATAGAGATAACAGGGAAATTGTTTCGAATAAAATCAATTTCGATTTGAACCGCGATTCAGTCCGAATCAACGATCTTCGGTTGTAATGTTGATCACGACAGAGATTCATTATAGCAGTTTCAGTACAACATTTGCTTGTTTCTTTGAAAACAAGATGAAGACGAACGAATATTGTGTATTGGTAATCGTTGATTTCTAAGATCGGAGTGAAGAGATGAATTCGAAAATGTCCTGTGGAAAAAAGTCTGCTTCAGTTGGGTGAAAGGTTTTTTCTGAATCATGGAACTGATTGAAGTTTCTTTTGACATTTATTATGTTGACCATCACATCTGTATACATATGAACAACAATGTTCACGATCGTCTACGTGTTCGATTGATGAAGTTGCATTTCCTATTCGCTTCCAGTCACTTACTACAGCAGATAGTATCAGGTACAAAGAAACTCTCTGAAGAACATTCTTCTCGCAATCGATTGATGAAAACTTTTCTTTTGATCATTGCAAACGAACGAACCATCGGAATACGAACTGTGATCCGCACTAACAACGATCGAATCGAAGATGAGGGAAACTCGCCATCTGGACAAATGATATTCGTCGAGTTGAAAATCCTTTTTGACATCTATTGAGTGCTCAGTGTCGCAAGTATGTCTATGTAGGACAACAGTGAAGATGATCCTCTGATAAAGACGAGCAAGATTTTTGCTATTTTTCAGTAAACTGTCAGTTACCAAGGCAAACAAGATTAGCTGGATGAGGTGTTTAAAACAAAACAAAACGGTGAAAGATCGATTGCGTTTGAAACCGTACGGATGTGACAGCAACCAATTCAATTGCAATAAATCTTCTGGATTAAAGTCGAATAATTTACCTTTTGACCAAAGAAAAGTCAACGATTTCCAATGACAGTGGTTAGGCGAAGGAACTGAATTAGTCAAATCCTCACTGGAGAATATTTTTCTTTTCTAATACGTTTCCAAAGAAATTAAAATCTTTTTTCAATTTTCAAAAATGCGGATGAATTAGAAATATTTTTGAAAAGAATTCATAAAATTCTTGAAATAATCTAAGATACTACACAAAATTTCGTAAAAATTCATTGTTGTTTCGACTAATCAAAAGCATATATAAAAGTTCTGGCAAAGTGAAATGTCAACGAGCAATCGTCCATTCGGCCCCTGCTCCCTTCCATACGCTACTGTTTTGATTTCGGTTGACCAATGCGCAACGGCATTCAAATCATTCAAATCTGTATCTTGATTGTATGTCGGAATCAAACTGTTCGCAGCGATCGAAGCACACCAATCGGCATATTTTCTCAATTATTTGTCTCATTCTTTGCAGCGAATACAATTTGAAATGAAGAGAATGATTTGAAGGTGCAGTTCAGCAAAACGCATTGTTCATACTCGTCGCAACTGCTTAATCATTATTCACCATTGTCGTATATCCTCTTTCATTAATTAATTCTTTGTATCACGTTGTGAATTTTAGGAAAGAAAACATATGACTTTACTATTCAAATTACACCAGGCCTTCACTCAAAAGAGTACGCAAAATTCGTTCACTATCACATCACTAATTGGAGTTTGATTCAGCGTCATTTTGAAAATTTCTTAATTATGAATAGAACGTTGAGAAAATTTCAAAACCATTTCCCAAGCTTATAAATCCGACAAGTTCAATCATCCTGAGTAATTCTATAGGTTCTGTATCAAGTCGTCAGATTTTTATGGAACATAGAATGGAAGTCTTCAAAGAACCATACATCGGCTTAGTCGACTTAGATTTACTAAGACGTATTAGCAAATAAAACAGAGCTTCGAGAAAATCATAAGTTTATTATGACGATGTAAAAACATATTTTAGTGAGATGAAAGGGATCAGGAACCTGTTCTAGCAACAATTCAAAGTGACAATTTTGCGCATACATTTCAATCTTGTTATTGGGCGAGAAGTTGGGCTTGCGAAAGAGTAATACGAGTTCGGTTTTGATGTATTACGCTCACTGAAGCATGCATTGGAACCACTCGAGTTTTCTGGTACGTGGCCATTAGACTATTCTTTAATTGTGGTGTCATGAAAACTATCAAAACGCTCAGTATAAACAGAGATAGTTGTAATGTAGCAGATTGAAGACGGTAGCCGAATGAATATTCATATCCAGTAATGTAATAAATGAGCAGTAAAATAGTACCAGGCAGAGCAAGTAAAAGCAGTATTCCAACTAGAATCATAACACGTTGAATGACAACAATATCTCGAGTAGATCGATTTCTGTCTACTGTATTTTGAACATGCGGTTGACGATAGATGTATCGAGAAATCTTCAGGTACATTAACAATAAACTCCAAGTTGGCAATCCGTAACCAAGAATATAAAGCCAAAGCATACCACGCACACTAGCCGCTGGAATAAAACAGTTATATTCGGTAGGTATATACGAGATATCGTGCCAGATAAGAAGCGGAGAGAAAATTATACAAAAATAAATTATTTGAACGGGTATTGCAAAAGCATATAGCCTAGGTGTTTGCATGTGCCGATACGATGAATATACAACACGACAAAGACGATAGAAGCCCTAGGATGTAGATAATAAAAGCAAAATTTACTACTTTTAACCAATAGACTTACTTGAATGGTGAAACTGCTATATAGTACGCATAGTATCACACAAATAGCATATCCATTGAATACGCACGATGATGAATTTAAATTGTAACCATAAATATCACCTAACAGTCTTCGAATATCTGATATTATCACTATGAATGCACTAAAGAATATGATAAAATAAATATTGGCACATAGAATAAATATAATTTTATTTTCCGGTTTAATTCGATTTTTCGTGTAGTAATGGCCAATAATTGCTATAAATATGATAAGTGAAATAACACAAGCCAATGAACCATGAAGTATCGAAAGAGACGCTAAAACAAAGTTTACTGGCGAATTTGTCCTGTTATCCATTGACTGGAGAAATGAAATCTGTTCGGGCGGCTGTATTTTTTGAAACTCAAAGTTCATTAATGTAGTTTAAAAAGACTTCATATACTTATATAAGAGATAACGATAATCTATATAAGATGTACGTCAGAATGCATCAGAGAGGATTTAAGCACATGATGTGAATTAAATCCCTCCTCTATTAAAATCTACCCCCTCGTATTAGAAGCTCATCGGAGCTGAGTAACGTGTCTACGTAATAGAAGGCCCTTATGTTTTCAAAATTTTTTCTAGGACTTTTTATGCTTTTCTTACAGTGAAATTTGAGAAACCAATAGACTTTGAGGTAAGGAAGTAATGTTAACTCAAAAAAAATCTAACTATAACCACATAAAAATCCTCTAAAAGCTTAGGTGCCTAGAATTTCCAAAAAATGATGGGACATATGAGAAGTCGTCGGGAACTTTAAATATGGAGAGGGGTTTAAGCCAACATTGTCTGAACTTTATAAGCCGCTTGTCCTTCTTTTAGCAAAGCGAAACGTGGACATTTTTTGCTCATTAAAACTTATCCATGAAAAGTCTGTATTAAGACCTTGAATAAGTAATTATTGTTTGGAGGATCCAGAGTAAATTTTGAAGAGTATCTCCAACTCGTAACTGATCACAGCATTTTGAAAAATTCATTCAGTATGTCTTTCAATTTATTATCTTTGCATCAAGGGCTCTCTTTTCTTTCATTATCCTATTTTGATCACAAATTAGTCTCACTAATAGTATATGACCGAAAAGAAGATTAATCAAATTTCAGGAGCGATTACCCAGTATCACTCCCAAAGGAGAAATGATTAACTCCAGATACGTCATACAACATGTAATAGGCTTCAAGTGATGAAGTACAGTTCAATATCTTTAGAGAAAACTCAAGATGTTGAAGGGCTATGTGGAGTATTGTTTGGAGTTTCAGAATATTGAAATTCCGGTATGCCGTTTGCCCCTTGATTTGTTTTTGAAGGGCACGATGATAAGTACAATCAACTGCTACTTTCAATATTTCAAAAGAATGTGACGTCTGCAACCATTGAGTACAACTATTAATATGTTATGCACATTTTGAGTAGCCGTAGCAAATGGAATTTTGTATTATAATCGAGGCTATATAATTTTTCCTTTCTTTAAATTAAAAAGCTTTTTTAACCACGACAACCAAGCAGACGTGCAGTTAGAATTTACACCATTACCACGGACAAACGAGTGCATCTTTGAGCTGATATGTTCAGATAAGCAATACCATCAAGAAGACAAAAAAAAGACGAAAGCGACAGAAAGATCATCCCAAATAAGACACAGACAGGTGTCTATATATACAAGAGAACGGAAGAGTAGATGAAAGGATTTTATGCGGCACCATCTAAGCAAAGAGAAAAAAAATAGAAGAGCAAGAATCTAGAATGGCTAGTAATGATATACATTGTACATTTGATTGAACTTGAACAAGTTTGATTTGCTAAAAAGCATTTGCCATTGTTGCCACATGGATTTTCTATCTGATCACAATCATATGTTATACCTTGGTTAAACGGAAAACTATTTGAAAAGCAATGTTGATCACATACACACATGTATATTTCATCATACAAACACATCAATTGTTTGTTTTGTCGACGGAACAATGGATAATATTCAACACGATGAAGATAATGATAAGTTTTGACCGTGTTGTTTGACTATGTTCGGGTTTGATAAATTCTTCGCATTTGAAAGTTAAATAGAAATCGCCATGGCGAAGTTCTCGAGATACAAGTGGAATGGGTTTGTTGTCAGAATGGTTATTTGATTTTGTCCATATTTAAGCTGTTTTGGCATCGTGCTTTGAACGTGAGATTAGACGTGTCATAAATTGTAATTAAATGAATTAAAATAGGCTTTTTTTGTTGAGATGGTTCGATTGATAACTTCAGTAGCAATTCTATTTTGATTATTTTCCCATCGATCTCCAGAAAAGGCTTCTTTACAAATGCATGTGAAGTTATCTGCAGAAATTCGGGACACACTGTCTGTCATTTTGACAAGAATTAGTTTCTGATCGATAGGCTTTATGTTTTCGACAACATTTTGTACCAATGTTGTATAACGGACAGAGTGAACCGGATGAACATTTAATTCTGAATACCCTGAATCGCATAGACAAAAGTATGATGAATTTTTGTCGATATGTTTGAGACATTTTCCATGATTTCCATGCGTTAAGGATAGAAAGGAGATGAGCAATTGTGCAGCAATACGATCGACTGGAGAGAATGAGAGTGGGATAGGTAAGAACAAACTTGCTCAATGTGTTAAAGTCATCCGATCGAAAATATCAATACGGATTGAATAATCTATCGAAGAATTCTATAGTCGTGAAAGATAAAGGAAATAAAAATGATATTTGATCTCGCAATCACGTTTTGGTACATGAATAGTTTGATCATCTACGAGCATTTTATGTGTGAACCTGACATGTTAACTTTGCCATTGGCATCGTGAGCCGAAGTAGGCCGGAGGAAGAATTGATGGAAAATAACCTAAACGTGATGATTGAAGAAATAGACGCAATCGAGTTTCACAATACGAATTCGAATTGAATCTGTACATCTCTTATTTGTCTCTACGAATCCTATACCCAGTATGACGACCAGATCCCGAATATATAGGCATTAAACAAACGTTCTGATTGTAATCGACATTCGACAATATGAAATGACCTTTAGAAAGATGTTCCATAGCAATGTATTTTGAGTCATTTCAGAATAAGTAATTCATATCATTTTTAACAGTTTTATTCTTAAAAAAATACAACAGGAGAAGGTCTAAACGGATCAAATTGAGTACAATAATCTACTAGATGTCGTACTGGTAAGCAAACATATTTGCTGGATGGTATCAGCATTATATCATAACAAATAAGCTCGTTCGCTGAACATACGCGGTTAGAACAATTAAGTTCATCAATATCACTCAAGCAGTGCAAATGTTGGTTATATCTAGTGTTCGGAATATCGCATCACCGTAAGTTGCAATAGTTTTCATCGGCATCCTCCATTTTGATGTCTTCCTATAAATGTCGAAAGCGATCGCAAAAATATACAAATCAAAATGTTTTGTGTAAGTCGATCCCGTGACTATCAACACTCACAGTAGAATTTGTCGTTTTACTAGTTGATAAAGATTTTTCATTTCCAATAGAGTTTCTAAACATTCTTGAAAGATAGTTGCCAGAAGAGACGGAATCGCCTTCCATGCTTCTATTTAGAACAGATTTATATTATTAGCGTAACAGCAATGTAGTTCATTGTGCATTCCAATATCTACCAAATAAAACAGGTATCTTGGACATCGAGCTGCATTAAAACAGATACAAGCTGGTGTGATATCATTTTTTGATAACGATATCGATCGATTTGTCAGATAAACAAATTGAAATGATGAATAAAGTATTGGGTACTCAGGAAAGACGAGCTGTTTCAATGGACGATGTTGCAGAGGCATTGCACAAAGAGTTCGCTTTTGTAGATGCGAAAGAAAATCAATACAATCAGGATGGATGAAACGCAACAGATATTTGTCGACATGCTGAATTTGAAATGTAATCGAATGAAGTAAAGAGAGCCGTTGTCATGTGTCGATTTCGTAAGTTGCACCATTGCAGATTTCACACCAATTGAGACACATTGATGGCGAATCACGAAAATGTATCTACTCAAGAATGAGTAACAGTTGCCAACGGGAAAATCTATATTCAATGATAGTGAATCATGTTTAAGAGAAGTTTTCCGAACAAGTATACCAAATGGAATATTGACATGCTGAACGAAACCAAGGAGATAAACAATTGTAGGTGAGCAAACAATCGAACGTATGAGAAATGTTGAAAGAATTATAAATAACTCGATCAGTTTGATCTTCAATCGAATCGGCAAAAAGAATTCTGAACTCTGTTTTGATTTTTTAGCGTTTTTCGTTCATTTTTTGCTGACGTATGTTTAAGAATAAAAACAATATTGTTCCTAAAAGTTATCTCTGAAAAGTAATTCTACATAAACGTCATCGTATAATGATGTATTCAATATTTTCGAGGATATTACTAAACATGGTTAGAAATTCAAGGTAAGTCGAAAGAGATTTCTCTATATTTTATTTTTGTTTCTACGAACAAGTTTCTCTTGATGATTCTCATGATGAAATAATTCATTATCCTTTTGCTCAAAGGTATTTGTTGACAACACACTTCTTACATACATAGTATCAAATAAAATGAAAAGTACAAGAACAGATCAACTCATGCAAATCAGTCCATCGGATACAAAATATGACTTTCTCATAAAATGAACCTCCTTTGTAAAAAAAATATTGTTATTACTTAACACAGATAGCGATTTACAAAATTAATCGATGCATCAAAATTTGTAAAACAACAAATGATAAAATCAAATCACAAACAAAGAATTGTACATGCATATTGATCCCCTCAATTTGAACGGCAAATGTTATTGTTTGAGTATGGTTCAACGTGATTAATTTAGGCACATTTGCATTCGAAAGATTAAAATCAACAGTTGAAGAAAAAGTACATTATGCTACAGTCGTTTTTCTCCTTTAGTAAATGAATGATTGCTATTTGAAATACAATTCGCAATTAAAGATACGTTTCATCGAAAGTCAATTTCATTCAGTTACAGGTGAATTCCTTTCCAATCAATAAAAGTTGGATGGTAATACGTGAAAAGATTTGGACAACGATCTGGTACTTCAAACAATCAACAAAATCATATGACGAAAACTTATTCATTTTTTTTTCATTGTAAAAACCGTTACCAATCAAGCGTATCTTTTCCCACTTCCTTTCTAGCGAACGAATTGAAGAGAAAACTTTCTTTCTGTTTTATTTCTTACAGTTACACAAAACACAAAACTTAAGCCAAAGGAACAACGACGATATGATTGGTAGTAATAATAATAACTCCAGCAAACCAAAGGTTGAATTTCTACGAGAACATTAAGCTTGAACTAGATGCGTGAGAAAACATATGAGAGTAATCAAAAGAGATAAAATACCGAACGGAAAACAGAAAAAAAAACCAGGAGAACAGAAAAAGAAAAAAATGATTGAAAGACCGACAAAAAAAACATGATAAATGAAAAGAAGATTAAATCACAGTTCTTTTTGTATATATAGTTTTAGTCCGATAAGAAGAAAGAAATTGAAATAATTTAATTTAAGCTTTTAATATAACAGCTTCTTTATCTGATACAGGATTTGTATCATCAATTGGTATGATATCATTAATATTCTTTAATTTTTCATAACCACGATGAGATGGCCGACTGCCAGTACGTGAGCCGCTTGTTCGACGACCTTCGAGAGCATATGCCTTTAACTTGAGAAAAGAAAAACAAAGAAATTGAAAAATGACAAAACATCGACGTGAAACAACTATAAAAAGTAGCTACGGTTACAAAGTATGTCAAAGAGGAAACAGAGGGACAAAGACAATTTTATGAGAAAAACATAGAGACGGACGTTGGTTGTTTTTATTTAGTTATTTATTCTAAGATGACTGGGATAAGCGTTGATATCGTGTTGAACTCGAACTGCTGCCATTACGACGTCCAGATGATGAACGGTTTCGTCTACAACCTTCAATTAATAGACCCAAAACCTAAAAGAAGCATTAGAAAAGAAAAAAAAACAACAACGTCCGTCTTGTTTGTTCTCTGTTTCTTGCGAAAGACACTCATTACGCGAGCACATACTTTATTCTTATTATGTAAGACCAAGTAACCAACAACGACGAATAAAGTAAACAAAAGGAAGTATGTAACGAAACTTCCAGACCAACCATCATTGTCACTGTATTTACGTCCAACTTGTGGTTCTAAACAAAGATTGAAAAGTACAAACAAAACATAGTTCATATGTCTTACTTGCTCGTGATTTTCCTTTGTTTGGATCTAAAGGAAAACGGAGAAGGTGGTGTACTCTCTCCCACAGATTTAAACATACCTGCTGCAACTGGTTTTGCTGTGTATTTATCTAAATTAGAAAGAAATTGGTCGGTTTTTTTCCTTTCCAAATCGGAGGAAAACTAAGGGTTCCTATTTACCATTTGCATTCGGTTTACGTAATGAGATGCCATCGTTGTCATCATCTTTGTTTCCAGCTAAAAACAAAACACAGATGAGACAAGATTCTCGGAGAAAAGCACAGTGAACTTTTCAATATTAGTCCAACGATAAATAGGATATAGATAAGCATTCCTTTACAGACGCATTTTGAACTAAAGGGATGTATCAGTGTTTTATCAGGTATAAAAGCATAAGAGAAAGCGACCTGAATACCGAACTAGATAAAACACTGAGACAGGTACATATATGAAAAATACACATCATGCTTAGATTCATTCTAGTGAAACCTTGATATTCTTCGTCTTCGTTGTTGTTAGGTACATTTTCTAGCTGATTCTGATCAGCAGGCGTGTTTGCTGCATCATAATCATCATGAGATACAGGTTCATTACTTCCTACATCATCGGTGATAAGAAGAAAAAGAAAACTGTGATGATTTCTTTCCACAAACCTAGTTGATCTTTTTTATCCATATCATCGACTTTATGTTGAGTATAATCATCTTTGTCGTCGTCATCTTGATCAGCATCGGCATCTTTGACGGCATCTGTTGGTTTCTTCTTCTCTAAACAGATAAAAAAAAACGAGATAAATCAATGACAGTCCTAATCTACGGGCTAAGTCAATTTTAAATCAAAAAGAAGAAGAAGCAAGAAAAACAAAGCAACAAAGAAACGCAAGTGAGCTTTTGTAAATATAAACTAAAGAATTCAATTGAGGTTCTAGTCATGGTGCAGCTCAAACTTATAGCAAAGTATTACCAGGTTCAGTTATTTTCTGTGGGTTTAAATCAATAATTGCTGATAGAGAAAGGATAAGTCATTGAGGTTTTATGTGATTTTAGTCGATTGGACTTACGACTAGGAGTGGTCACTTCCAATGTTTTATTCGAACTTTGTACTCCTACAACTACCGTTGTACGATCGACTGCTTTCTCTTTTCATTGCAAAGATAAACGATTATCGAAGAAAAGAAAAATCCGTCGAGAATGACTTACGCATGGCTGTAACTTCAACATCATCTAAATTTAAGAAACAAAATTATGCGATCTACTGTCTATGATCAACTCAAGTCATTTTTAGGTGGGATGAAATGAGAGCATGAAACGTATTACATACTTTTGGCATCATCTTTCTTGTCTGTTGTGCTTGGCTTGGGAATTTGTTTGGCTAAGAAACGAAGAAGAATGAGTAATGTCAAACAATCTATTCATCATACCTTGCCCATCGTCTTTGGCTTTACCATCTCCATTACCATCGACATCTAAACCGCGAATTGTACCATTAATAAAGTATATACAACTCGAATCTTACCCTTTTTTTCTCCTTCTTCGTCTTCTTCATCAGCATTTTGATCGGTCTTCTTGTCTTGATTTAAATCCAAGACCTTTCCTTGGTCATCTGAAGAGTAAAATCATTAGAGAATCGTTTCTTCGAGAAGAAAGAACTTGACGATTTTTTACCAGTAGCCTTGGCGCCTGTGCCAGTTGTGTTAGTAAGTTTCTTGAGAAATTCTTTTCCTTTCCCAACAATGGTCTTGGTTCCATTAACTACAAAAACAGAAGAACATGCGAATATTGAATTCGTTTTTGTCTTACCAACTTTATCTCCGATATCTTTCGACAACTTTTTAACATCAGTGAGTTTATCTTTATTATTGTCTGCGTCTTCGTCAACCTTTTTCTTTGTATCGCCAGTTTTATCCTTATCGGCATCATCGTTGTCATCATTGTCTGATTTGGTTTTTGTTTTGTCATTGGCATCGTTTCCATCGTCGTCATTATCATCTACTTTTTGTTTGGATTTTTCAGCAGTTTTATCAGCTTTCTCTTTTCTAGATTCACCATCATCGTCTGTTTTACCTTTGGCAGGTTCTCCAGCATCGCCAGTTTTGTCTTTCGCATCGGAAACCGTTTTCTCAACTTTTTCCTTTGCATTCTCGGCAGTTTTCTCAACTTTTTGTTTGACTGCTTGACCTTCTTCACCTAATTTGCTTTTAACGGTCACAACACCATCAGTAAGTTTCTGTGTCAGAGTTTTGGCAGTTCCATTGTTTTTTGTTTTGGCCTTGTCAATCGTTTGATCGGCGTCATCTTTGGCATCGTCAGTGCCCGTTTTTGTTTTATCTTTAATTGCAGTAGTTGCACCGTCAGCCTTGGAAATCGATTCAGTCAATGTTTGTTTGCCTAGATTGGATTTTGTGCCGTCTGAAATAATAAAACAAAAGTATTTTATCTGCTAGGAAAATTTTCTCTGTCAAACATGAGAAAATGAAATATATTTTGCATAATCGCCGAGAAGCATTCCAGAAATGAATAACTCATTCATAGAAATCTTCAATCATCAATTGCCGCCTACCTTTTGATGTTGTTGAAAGATCCAAATTTCTCACATGTGGTGCTGCTCGATAGAAAAATCTTGCTAGTTGACGTGTCGCTTCATCATCAGCCACCTTGTTGCATAACTCTTTGACGGTCACATCAATTTGTTTTTGTCCGTTATTTGTGATGGCATTCCATATCCATTGATTGGTTAGTTGGATGGTTTTTGAAAAACATATTTCTTTTGGTGTCGATTTTTTTGAATATATGACTGGTGATGGACGTCCATCTTTGTCAAACTGACAAGCTTTCTTCAGTTCATAAGCAATCATATGACATAAAATTCGATTTTCTTTCTTCGAATCGGATGCACAGTATGTTTTCAAATCTGCACTGAATGCTGTATAATCGTCCTTATGTTTTACAAAGGCACGAAGATCACACTCAGGTGACGTCGTTTTTATTGTTGATAAAACATCGATTGCTTTGAGTTCATTATCATCTGCTCCGGAAATTGAATTTCCATGGAAGAAAATCAATGACAATACGATAGGTAATAAATTCATATTGAAAGAAATGTATCTGAAAGTAGAAGCATAAAAGTTGATTATACAATCGACACTAATAAGCAAAATCCTTTGAAAAAGAAGAGAACAAAATGTGTAAAATGAATATAATATGTAAAACATCTATGCTTATAATCATGGTCGTCCTTTTTTCTTTCTTAGTAGTCAGGTTTTTTTTCTGTGCGTCTCATGTAACGAACAAATTTTCTTAGTAGGACGTTTTTTTTTTCTTCTTCGACGATGCACGATCAATAACCTTCCGACAGGTTTTTCTCCTTGTATTTATGATACGGACAGATGATTTTGAATGTACAATATCGATAGTTATTTACCTGCACGATCAACGACAGAGAAAAGCGAAAATGTTCTTTTTTTTGTAATTGACGAACTGATGGAAACGAACGAGAATGTCGAGAAAAAGAAAAGTTTGTAATTTTACAAGAATGTTTAACGGTGGTTCTGTTGAAAAAGAAGAAAGAAAAATAAAGAAATTATTCAGACATTAGTCAAACTTTGCCATTTTTTTAATCTATAAACATATTTTGTCTCGACAACGCGTTGTACTAATCAAAAAATTATTCAAATAGATGTCGCCGCACATCACGCATCACTCATTTTAGTCACAAGTTGGAAAATTCTTTCAAGTCACTTCAGTCTTGTGAAGAGAGAACGACGATGAATAGAATTCTATCGCTTTAAATCTCTCAGATACTTTTCGTATTAAGATTTTTTTCATTGAGCTGTTTTGAAATGAGTCAGTTGATACGAAGTGACGCGTCTGATTTATAAAAATCCTTGTTAAACAGACAGAACAAGAAAGAAACTATGCTTGGAGTTGGGTTTCTTTCTGTTCTTATGTATCTTACGTTCTATGATGTTGGCATTTTTTTTTCAACTTTCTCTTTCTTTTGTTATTGTTGTCGATCACCGAATATTTTTTGTTGTAATGCACATGGAAAAGAAAGAAGTAGACGAAAACAGTAAGTCAAGAGAAAAAAAAATGACGATTTAAGTGAAAGATGCCAATATCTAAATCAATCGAAGTATAATACAATCTATCCTATATTAAGTATTCATTTACAGGTAAGAAAATTCATATCTTATGACTCAAAACATAGGTATTTTCTTGTTTCTTAAAAACATATTCTTGGTATTTTGAATATTTTATCGTAATATTTCAGATGGTTCGAGTTTGAATTACTACTTAACATTTTGACGCTTATCTAAGCACTGTACTACTATGTTTCAAAGACAGATATCTAACGATCTAACTATATACGAACCTATTCAAAATGGAATATTATCAGCGGATGTGACTATAGGAATTCGGTTAAGAGATCAAAATGGTACTGTACGATCTGCACATTTGACACTTTCATTATCAGAACCTATAGTTAATGTCATTACAAAATTCTTAAGAGTTTTGGAAATTGAAAACATTCGTGTTGATGATGTTTCACTGTCAAAGATATGTTCTGGAAGTACAGAGAGAGATTTTACTACAAATCCGAGACTCACAACATTGAACGAATTAAAAATTAAGCAAAATGACATTCTCTGGTTCATGTTATTGATCGGTCCAGCGACATCACAACTTCTCCAGCTTAATTTATTTAGGCATGACCCTCCGCATCACGCTATTTATGACTGCGATAAGAATACAACCACACTAAAAATGTTATTTGACTATGTTATCGAAGCATTCGAACTAAAATCAATGGATCGTGAACAAATTCATCTCATCACCATTGAGAGTATTGAACTCAATCATGGTGAAGATTCAAACAAACTATTAATTGAATTAGGTGTAATTCATAACTCATGGGTTTTTGTTGAAACTATCGAATCGCGTTCTCGTCTGAAACCAACAATTCATGTTCTTTGCGCTCATACAAATGGAGACCTACCTTTAGAGGTACCATTTACAACAACAGTTAAACAATTGAAGGATGCGATTGAAAAACAATTGAAAGATCGCATTTTAATTGATTTCACGTTGTTTAATCGTATGCATGAAAAAATCTCTTTTACCGATCCAAAACAAAATCTTTATGATTTTGGTGTTAAACCTGGTCAGATTATCTACGCAACGCTTCACCTAGCATTTTCAGGAGATCCATTATCTCTCACAAATACACGAAATGATTCGACAACAAAATCGCTGTCGTTGATTTCAAAACAACAATCTAATGACGTTACTCCTTCTTATGAAGAATCGACATCGTTTGATCCAATATCAGTTAAAGTTTCCGTTGATGGTACTGTAGATGATGCGATCAAAAAGCTCAAACTACCTCACGAAGGCAACTTACGGGGACAATTACAACTCTCATGTGGATCGACATGTTTTACAAACGATGAACCATATCGATGTTTGTCAAGTTATAATATTCAACCCGGTGATGTTGTTCACGTAAAACGTCCACGAATGACACCTGTTCGATTATCTGACAAGAATGATAGCCTCTTTAGCACATCTTCTCTTCGCATGAGCATTTCTGACACACCTATTGGTTTGTCTAATCTCGTAAACACATGTTATATGAATAGTGCACTTCAATGTCTCGCTCACACTATGCCATTAACTCAATTCTTTTTAAATGGTCTTACTCAGAATAATTCCGATGGAGAGAAAACCATGGACTCTGATTGGAATCAATTTTATACAATTGGTTCGGTGACAGGTTCGTATGCTGATGTCATACGAAATTTATGGATACCAAACAAAAGATTTTCCTCGCTTTATTCAAGAACATTCCGTCCAGATCATATAAAAGAAACCATTGGCAATCTAGCCCCACGGTTCGCCACATCAGATCAGCAGGATGCTCAAGAATTTTTACTATTCCTTATTGATGAGATGCATAAAGAAATGAAAAAAGACATTGGAGATGATTCAAACTCCATCATTGAAGAATTATTTTTTGGAACAATCGAATCAACCATCATCTGTACCGAATGTAAACACGCAGTAAAAACCACGAATCCGTTTAGTATTCTACCATTGCCACTTGTTCAATCAGGTCGTCGATTTCATCTAACATTTATCGAAAAAAATGGTAAAACCGACACGATGACCATCCACGTGCCTGAGAATGGTCATGTTAAGGATCTTTTAGAAGCTTACATCGAATCTCGTCCTTTATATTGCTTCTTTTACCGTATCATACTCATGACTGATGATGACCAACTTGATTTGCAAACGCCACTATGCGAATTGACTGTCGATAATGTTGTTCTTGTTGAACAAGATGATTTTACAGGAAGTGAACCGTATAAACAATATAATAAAAGAACGAAACAATTAACTCTCGATGGTTGTCTGAGAGAATTTTGCTCAATCGAAAAACTCGAAGATTCATGGTTATGCGAACAAGAATCATGTAGAAAACATACAGAAGCGACTAAACAATTGCAGTTCTCTCGTCTTCCTCAAATTCTTATTATTCAATTGAAACGATTTTCTCATAAGGATGGCGTTCGAGAAAAAATCGAGACATTTGTTGAATATCCAATCCAAGAACTTGATTTAAGTTCTTTCTCGCCATCATCATCAGAAGCTATCTATGAATTATTTGCTATTATTAAACATACCGGTTCCATCTATGGTGGTCACTACATCGCATATGCACAACATGAGGCAAATGGAAAGAGTACTTGGTACGAATTTAATGATTCGTTGGTATCTTCATTTTGTTTGAAAGATCACATTGTTTCAAAAGATGCGTATCTTCTCTTCTACAGTAGAAGAGAAAAAACCAACCAATAACAATATCATTCTTCTCCGTTTGCTCATGTGTTTTAGACAAGAAATTTTGCTGTTGGATGTATTCGTATAATTTTCTTTTCTTATTAAAAAAAGTCTATGAATTTATTTTCTTATCCATTCTCATAAAATCAGTTGTTGTCGTCGTCGTTCTTGAATACGCAATGAATGAATATTAAACAAATATGATTAGATTGCTGTGTTATGTTGGCTTCTGCATTAATAACCTGAATATAAAAAGTTCGAGTTAAACCATTGTTAATGCATCCGAGCTTCTCTTTTTCTTCGTCGACTAATAACGAGAGTTAGAAGCAACCGATTAATGATGTTATTTTACTTATATTACATTTCTGCTGGTTATAAAAAGTGTGTTTTTTAGAACATTTCGATAATTGTACACAATCAAAAACATGTCCTATCGATCAACTTTACCAAAGTGGTATATTAATCCATTGCTCAATCATGGTTTAAATATTTGTACAATGTGCGGTTCACAATCTTACGTGGATATTCGCATACCGATTTGTCCTGGATGTGATGGAATTATCGCAGATTCTCCACGAAATGCTCGTTATGAACACCTCTGTGCGAATTGTAGTCGAACACGTACGATATGCAGGTGTGCTTATCCTTCATCGAATTACTTCCTGTCATCTTCTTCGGAATCTTTAAATTCTTCTTCATGTTCATGCTTTGATCATGTATCAGACTGTTGCTATTGCTATTGCTGCAGTTATTTCTGTACTCTTAATCGAAATAATTGTTGTTGTTGTTGTTCGAGATGCGACTGATATGTATTATTTTAAAGGATATTTATTAACAAGAGAGAAAAAGAGCTACATAACTAAACTTCAAAATAAAATATGAATAAAAAAAAAGTAGATCCTTCTAGGTTTAAATGTGTCAATTTTATTGCGATGGACAATGAGTCATTCATTTGTATACTCGTGGTGATTGTTTCATTCGTTTCGAAATTCCTGATGTTGGATTCATGTTGTTGTCATATCCAGTGAATTCATTATTGTCGTAATCTTCAGCTTCATCAACATCCATCATTGGTTCTTCATCTAAACCTTCATACGTTCGACGACCTAAGAACAACAATATTTAGATAATATTGACTTGATGATTAAGAAGATGACGTACGACTATATGCAGGTTTTGATGGTGAATTGGATGTCGTTCTTTGTAGTTGTTTAATATGAAATTGAAACTGGTCGTTTGAATCTGTGTCAATGGTGACATGACTGTGTGGCGCAAGTTTTGTTTGAATCAATAATTTCGATAGTTCAGTTGTGATATATTTTTCGAGATAACGTTTCAATGGACGTGCACCATAGACTAAAATCAAAATACAAAAGGTATATTAGAAGAAGATTGTTGAATCATTTAGTTATTGATGCAAATATTTGAATATGTATTTCACAAATTGATTTTGAAGGTGTTAGAGTGACGAAAAATATTTGTTTTGCTAGCGAATCAATATTAAATTCGTGGAGATTTTCTCCTATAAATACGATCGATCGATTCTCACAAATCACGGACTAACGATCAAATCATGTTCAGATCCATTCTTTGTTTCTATTCGGTCTTATTCGCTACGACAACATACGCGTTTCCAATAACTATTCAATTAACTCAAGGACAACTCGCTTCACAATTAGCTCTTGCCGCTGTTCAAACTGGACAAGTATCGAAACATATATAATATAATATGCCTAACTACTATTCTACTGTTTTAGTTGACATCTGCTCTATCAGGTAGTGCTGCTCTCAATAATTTAAATAATTATGATCTGAGTGGACATGCAAATGTAAGTGTTCCAATCTACAATGGAGGATCTAATCAACCATCTGTCGGTATTGGTGGCACTGCTGATGCAAGTTTTGGTTCGAATAATGTAGGTACCTTTCGTAACAAGAACGATCTCATGAAACTTATTCTCTTTCTCAACTAGGGACAACTATATGGACCGAACCCGAACTATGATGTTGGTCTTGGAATAAATATTCCATTGGGAAAGAAATGATGTTTTCTGTTGAATCTACTTCGAAATAAAATCAAGATCTCTCTTCCAACATACCTGGATTATAAGATTTCTTAAGTGTTGATTGAATAGCTTTATCAGTTAGACTAATTGCAATATCTTGTTCTTTCAAACGTTCTTCCAATGATTTTAATTGAAGATGAACAATTGATGAAAGTTGATTGACATTCAATGGTTGGAAGAAGACAATGTCATCCAAACGATTCAAAAATTCCGGTCGAAAATGGAGGCGAACTTCTTTCATAACTCGATCTTTGATCGCTTGAGATAGTTTTCCATCGGAGGTCTTTGTCGGATGTTCCACATCTTCCAAAATGTACTGCGCACCAATATTGGATGTTAAAACAATAATTGTATTCGTAAAGTCAACAGTTCGTCCTTTGCCATCCTAAATATTGATTGATTGATAAATAAGAAATTTTCGGTTCGTACAAACGAAAAGTCAACTTACAGTTAAACGACCATCATCCAAAACTTGTAATAAAGTATTCCAAATTTGTGGATGTGCTTTTTCCACTTCATCAAATAAAATGACTGCATAAGGTTGTCGTCGAACTGCTTCTGTCAATTGACCACCTTGTTCGAATCCGACATAACCTGGTGGTGCACCGATTAATCGAGCAACTGAATGAGATTCTGTGTATTCACTCATATCGATTCGAACCATCGATTTGGTTGAGTCAAACAGTTCCAAAGCTAAAGTTTTCGCTAATTCGGTTTTACCGACACCCGTAGGACCCAAAAATAAGAATGAACCAATGGGTTGATTTTGTCTTGACAGACCAGCACGACTTCGAAGCACAGCTTCAGCAACGCTATCAACGGCATCATCTTGTCCGACAACTTTCTTATGTAAATGTTCACTTAATTTCAGTAAACGTTCACGTTCTGTTTGAGATAGTTTCGATACAGGAATGCCTGTCCATCGACTGACTAAAACATAGAAAACTCATTGGAATATTTCTTTTTTGATGTTTTTAAAAACAAACCTATTTCAGCAATTGCATTTGGTCCAACAACTTCAGTCAATAATCGATCTTGTTGTTGTTTGTTTTCTTCGGTAATTCGATGTTCAGTTTCAGCTATTTTCTTTTCAAGATCAGGAATAGCTCCGTATTTCATATCAGCAACTAATGCTAAATTCTTTTCACGTTCCGCTTGAGCCATTTTAACTTGGAGATTTTCCATTTTTTGTTTCAATTTTCTCAATTCATCGACACGTTGTTTTTCTGCTTGATGCCGTAATTTCAATGGTTTTAGTTCTTCACGAATTTTGGACAATTCTTCTTTGACTTGTTTTAAACGTTGCTTCGATGCTTCATCTTTTTCCTGAGACAAAGCTGTGGCTTCGACATCTAATTGTAATTCCCGACGTTCCAACTGATCAATAACTTCCGGCTGACTATCCAATTGAACACGAATACTTGCGCAGGCTTCATCAATCAGATCTATTCAATATGAAAAAAAACCGAATTAAATATGAAAGATTCTTTACAACAAACGTTCTTACCGATGGCTTTGTCGGGTAGAAATCGGTTGGTAATATACCGATTGGATAGTTGAGCAGCGATGACTAAAGCGGAATCGAGAATTCGGACTAGAAAAGAAAAATGGAAAATGATAGAAAGAAGAAGAAAAAAAACGAATGAGATATTACATACCACCAAAATGTGATTCATAACGATCTTTGAGACCACGTAAAATAGATACGCAATCAGCAACTGATGGTTCTTTAACCATAACTTGTTGAAAACGTCGTTCAAATGCTGGATCTTTTTCAATATATTTTCGATATTCATCTAATGTTGTTGCACCAATACAACGAAGTTCACCACGAGCTAACATAGGTTTCAATAGATTTGCTGCGTCCATTGCACCTACAATGAAAAAAGATAATTGAATTTACCAATCTTTTAACAAAATGCAAATTTACCTTCAGCTTTTCCAGCGCCGAGAACCAAATGTATTTCATCAATAAATAAAATTATTCCGCCATTTGAACTTTCGATTTCCTTCAACACGGATTTCAAACGTTCTTCGAATTCACCACGATGACTAGCGCCAGCTAAATATCAACCGTGTTAAAAATCAAATATGTTTATACTTTTATTCAACTTACCGACTAAAGCACCCATATCTAATGCAATTAAACGTCGTGGTAATGTGTCGGGAACGTCCTGATGAACAATACGTTGTGCTAGACCTTCAACGATAGCTGTTTTTCCCACACCCTATGGAAATAAAAGAATATTTTTCGAAAAAGAACACATTTTCAAGAAAATCTTACAGGTTCACCGATAAGAACAGGATTATTTTTTGTTCGTCGTGATAAAACTTGGATACATCGTCGGATTTCTTGATCACGACCAATAACAGGATCTAATTTTCCTGATTCAGCATCAGCAACTAAATNCTTCGGTAATTCGATGTTCAGTTTCAGCTATTTTCTTTTCAAGATCAGGAATAGCTCCGTATTTCATATCAGCAACTAATGCTAAATTCTTTTCACGTTCCGCTTGAGCCATTTTAACTTGGAGATTTTCCATTTTTTGTTTCAATTTTCTCAATTCATCGACACGTTGTTTTTCTGCTTGATGCCGTAATTTCAATGGTTTCAGTTCTTCACGAATTTTGGACAATTCTTCTTTGACTTGTTTTAAACGTTGCTTCGATGCTTCATCTTTTTCTTGAGACAAAGCTGTGGCTTCGACATCTAATTGTAATTCTCGACGTTCCAACTGGTCGATAACTTCCGGCTGACTATCCAATTGAACACGAATACTTGCGCAGGCTTCATCAATCAGATCTATTCAATATGAAAAACAAGAAACTAAATATGAAATATTTTTCACAACAAACGCTCGTACCGATGGCTTTGTCGGGTAGAAATCGGTTGGTAATATACCGATTGGATAGTTGAGCAGCGATGACTAAAGCGGAATCGAGAATTCGGACTAGAAAAGAAAAATGGAGAATGATAGAAAGAAGAAGGAAAAAAAACGAATGAGATATGACATACCACCAAAATGTGATTCATAACGATCTTTGAGACCACGTAAAATAGATACGCAATCAGCAACTGATGGTTCTTTAACCATAACTTGTTGAAAACGTCGTTCAAATGCTGGATCTTTTTCAATATATTTTCGATATTCATCTAATGTCGTTGCACCAATACAACGAAGTTCACCACGAGCTAACATAGGTTTCAATAGATTTGCTGCATCCATTGCACCTACAATGAAAGAAGATAACTGAATTTACCAATCTTTTAACAAAATGTAAATTTACCTTCAGCTTTTCCAGCGCCGAGAACCAAATGTATTTCATCAATAAATAAAATTATTCCGCCATTTGAACTTTCGATTTCCTTCAATACTGATTTCAAACGTTCTTCGAATTCACCACGATGACTAGCACCAGCTAAATATCAACCGTGTTAAAAATCAAATATGTTTATACTTTTATTCAACTTACCGACTAAAGCACCCATATCTAATGCAATTAAACGTCGTGGTAATGTGTCGGGAACGTCTTGATGAACAATACGTTGTGCTAAACCTTCAACGATAGCTGTTTTTCCCACACCCTATGGAAATAAAAGAATATTTTTCGAAAGAGAATATATTGTCAAGAAAATCTTACAGGTTCACCGATAAGAACAGGATTATTTTTTGTTCGTCGTGATAAAACTTGGATACATCGTCGGATTTCTTGATCACGACCAATAACAGGATCTAATTTTCCTGATTCAGCATCAGCAACTAAATCATGACCATATTTTTCTAGTGCTTGATAAGTTTGTTCAGCTTTAGCTGAAGTCACATTTTTATTCTGTCGGACTTGTTTCACTACTTCTTCCATCCGTTTTTTACTCAATCCAACTGAAACAAAAGCGGATGTTGTATCTGAATCTTCATATAAAGCCACCAAAATATGATCGATTGCTGTATGCGAATCCTTTTGTGTTTTCGATAATTTCTTGGCCTGTTTCAATACATTCATAAACGATGAATTGGGATAGAGTTTCGATGGTGGTGGATCTTGCTTAGATAATTTACGTAGTTTCACATCGATGGCATCCAATACTTCTTGAACATTAAATTCCGCTTTTTTGATTAATTGTCTCGCTAGACCTTGTTCGTCTTCGACGAGAACATGTGCCAAATGCAATGGTACAAGTTCAATATGTTTTTGTTCTTGAGCATATTCTAATGCTAAAGATATTGCTTTATTGCTTTGATCAGTAAATTCTTCGGGAGAGTAAGACATGATTTGTTAATGTACTGAAATAAAAAGAAATATAAACTAAAAGTTCGTTTTCAATAGACAATATAGAATCAATCCGTCGGGTACAAATAGAAAGAAGAAAACAGATGTGTTATCGAGTTTAGTTTAGTTTGTGTGTGGAACAAGAAATTTTATTGGATCGTGTATAGATAAATAAGATGACGCTAGATTATGTCTTACTAGTCCTGTTCGATATCGACACAAATTTCACTTACCGAGAACTGACTTGAGTTGAATATAAAGTGCGTTTGTAAATACAGTTACAGGTAGATAATTGATTTCTAATTCGTACTAGCAGCATATTTATATAAATTCAAATCGAGCGAAGAATTTTCTGGAACGTTCGAGAAATTTGGAGCACTAACTCAGACACTACAGAAGAGAAGAGAAAGAGAAAGAGAACGACACGATAGACACGCGCACGTCTTGCATGTATATACATGTCAACAGAACGCAAAAAAAGAAAGTCAAAAGTTGAATGTTTCTATATGTTCTAATCTTGAATATACTCGTTTACCTAATAATTTAAATCTCGAAAAAAAAAACTTTTCCAGAACTCTGTAACATCTTGTTCTAAGTGGTATTTTTGTTCATTTAGAAAATTGTTCACCAATGAAAATATCAATCGACTTGATCGATTGTTTTTCGTTTATAAGAGTGATTGACATGTTTATCACAAACCAAGGATAAAAACACTTTTTTTTCTGATCCCGCGAGGACAAAAATGATTGTATACTCAAACAAGTCATTTACTTATTCGCTTCATTGAGTATACAATGCCTGCCGGAACACTCGAAGTGATAATTGTTGAAGGCCGTCGTCTTAAAGATAAAGATACAGTTGGACAAAGTGATCCATATGTTGAGATCTACATAGAAAAAGGATACAAACAACGGACAACAACGCTTTCAAACACTAATGATCCTGTGTGGAACGAACGTTTCGTATTTAATGTTCACCCCAATGATGATACGATCCATTTTGCTGTTTATGATTCTGATGTTGCCGATAAAGATGAAATTGGAACTGGAAAAGTAAAACTCAAAAATGTTTTTGACGATGGGAAATTTGACGATTGGGTTAAGCTACCTGCTCATCTTGGTCTATCCAATCATGGCGATCTTCATGTTATCATGAATTTTACTGTAAGTTTTCCTTCGCGAACTGTCAACATGACATTTTCCTTCGTTCTTTTTTAGCCTTCATAAAATATCGTTCATCAATAAGCCGATAATTGCAGTTTGACAATTTATTCTTTCAAAACTTTCGCTCTTTTTCTGTTTTGAATCCTCAATATCTAACATAAGGGAATAAATAAACAGTACGACACAACAGCATGACAAGACACATCTACTAGATAGTTTTGTTGTCTCTCTAATCGTCTTTGTTGGCATTAATACCAGTTGCAGCAACATTGTCTGCTTTTCCTCGTGTAATAGCAGCAACATTTGGACCATCACCAGCAGTTGTTGATACTCCACCAAGCTTTTCAAGTGAACTTTTATCGACCAGACTAAATCGAAATTGTGTTGATGTGCTCATATAAAGTGTTGGAATCCAGATCATGGATGTTTTCGCAAAACAAGCACAGATAAATGTTGCCATTGGTGACACATTCGCTTCGGGTGCGCCAAATGCTGATATAAAAAATGTAATTGCGTACGGTGTCCAAGTAAAAACAAAACCAACGACAGTGATAACAACAGCTAGAACGAGAAATTTGTTGAATATGCATTTCTAAAGAGAAGACGTTTACTCTTGAGAACACGTCGTTCCATTTCAATCCGCCTTTGACTCAATTCTGTTTTAACACCTTGAGCAACTTTCTTGCGCATACCTTTAATTCCTGTATAAATTATTGAATTCGTTACGAGAAGAATAATCAATGGTACACAATAAACAACCACGAATATGAATATATTGAACGAAACAAATAAACGACGTCGATCATATAAATTCGTGCAACAGGATGTACGAGATCTCTTTAAGAAAACATTTTATCAATATGAAAATACGAAAAGACTGCCTACATACTTCCAAAGTATATTCATTCCAACCAACTAAAGGTAATATTGTCCAAAGTAATGCAATTAATATAGCGATGCAGCAAGTAACGACACTTTTTTTGACCTATTGATGTTTGAGACGTTTTCTTTAAAATATGATAATCTATAAGAGCGCCTTCAACTTACTGTAACTGATTTAGCATTGAATGGCCGAATGATGATATAGCATCGGCTGATACTAACAGTACAAAGCAGATAGCAACTTGCACATCCGTAGAGAAATGCCGTTAGACCTTCTAATTGACACCCTTGACGACTATATAGCCAATGACAAAAGACCGATGATGAACCTGTTAGCGGTAGATTAACGCAAGAAGCAATCAAACCAATAAATGAAATGAACATTATAAAGATATTTGGTGGTGTGCGAAGTTCTTTATGTCGTATGAAGCTAATTAAAAGTGATCCATTTAAAAAAATACCGAGCAATGTGGCTACACATAAAAGTATTCCTATAATTCGCACTGTTGTACAATCAATTGGTGTCGGTTGACTCCAAAATGCTGGATCGTCCGAGGTTAGCCCAATGCCAATGCTCGATGAGTTATTAGCAGACATAATTTCTCTATGTTGAAATGAGACGAACAATCGAGAACTCTTGTATTTATACACATATCCGATCCTAAATCGGTTTTAACGGATAATCATGTGCGGATGAATATAGAGGAACAAAATAGAAAGATTTAGTTGTGCTATTTAACAATCACGAATATCTATACTTTAACACATGAATAAATAAATTAAAAATCAAGCAAAGACTCAAGTTTGTTTCAGTTAATTCCTCGACGTGTGATTAAATACACAGCAAATGTTCCCAGCCAATGTCCACCTTCATAATGGTTTTCATCAATTGCTGTGAGACCAGCATGAGCATTTCTTTGACTCAGTTCGCTCAATTGATGTCGTTGTTGATGATTTTCTGGTAGCATATGAATGATTCCTTCTAACATCCATGCTCGACTGAGACACAAACCAGCCAAATGAATCAGTTTTGGATCAGATGGATCAGCAATCGCAGGCGGTTCAAGGCTTGATGGTAACTGATTGTTCTCAGGTAAAAAAGTGTTTAACCATTCAATAAATTTGTCTGGATTGTTTCTCATGACGCGTCGTATGAGATCAGCCTCAGCTAAACCTGCTGATAGAAAATCTTCTCCCGACGGTTCATAATTGAATGGATAGAATTTATCCTGAGCAAAAAAGCGTAACGCTTGTTGTTCGATCAGTTGGCCAAATGTTTCATTGTTTACACGATGAGCATAATCGAGCGTAAGGCCAAGCGCAAAAGCTGTTTGACTATGTTCTCCACTACGAACGGGATAAGATAGTTTTGGAAGCCAAGATGATAAACGTTTGACCACAAGTTCTTCTAATGGACGGAGATTTTCACGCCATTGATGAATTTCTTCCGAATAGATTTGATGATTATCTTTTGACCACTCGTCTAATTCCATCGTTAATTGTAATAACCATGCTAATCCATATGGTCTTTCAAATGCTTGACGTTGATTATTATCGATATATTTCACTTCGTTGTCGAGATTTTCTTTTGTTAAACTTTGCCGAAGTGCTTGACAACACTCATTTGTTAGATTTTGATCGATTCGTGCCAGACGAACCAATAACCAATGACCATGAACAGCCGAATGCCAATCAAAGCAACCATAAAACGCTGGTGTTAATCGACGAGGTCCTTGAATATCTGCATCAGATGTAAGAACATGAGCAATTTTGTTTGGATATTCACGATGAACACAAGAGAGTGCCAAAGATGCAAAGCGACGATGTAACGAAGATAAATCTAAACACTTACTTGTCATTTGAATTTCTATAAGTGCAATGCTTACATATACTATTACAAAGGAAGAAAAACCGTGTGTGACTCAGAATAAACAGAAAAGAGAAAAAAGCAAATAAATACATTTGATAAGAATTGCTTGCTGGTGACGCATTGATTCCATCTCTTACAACAGTTTTTTTTGCAATAAATGACGACATGTATGTGCTTTTTGCTCGAAAACGAGGAAGAGATTTGTTTATATAAGATGAAAATTCATGCATTTGGTCGAATTCAATAGAATCAGGCAGGTAAACGTGAGAGAAGCAAAGCAGAATCTACCTTTTTTTACGATTAAAATCGGCGAATATGGTAGAGAAAACGTACCCCAATAATGATCGATATGAAGGAGAATTAGTCGGTGGAAAACGACATGGTCAAGGAACTTTATTTTACGCAAAAGGCGGAAACTACTCAGGTAGTTGGAAAAGAGATGAGCGCGATGGTTACGGAGTCAATATTTGGGCAAATGGTGATCGTTGTGAAGGAAATTGGAAAAACAATAAATTGCATGGGCAAGTAACATTTCATTATTCGGACGGGGAAAGTTATTCAAATGAATTTCTAAATGGAGTAGATATTCACGAAAAAAAACCTAAATCGAAAGCATTAGATATCCCAAGTAAACCGAAATATACGAAACACGAAACGACTAAAGAAAGGTGTGACTCAACTCTTTGTCCAAGTATGAATTTACCATATGAATTTGTCAAATCATTGAAATGGCCCGAGTCAATATTCTATCCTGCAGAAGATAAATGTTATTGTTCAAGATGCTATCATCCTAGTTGGTCAGATGCAGTCACAGCAGGTGGAGCGAAGTATGTTATTCCAAGAGAATGGGTGCGTTTTGGCCTTTTGGTTGATCCGGTATTGCTAAGTAATCGTACGATATGGGACGATTGGATTGTTACATTTCATGGTACAACAAAAGAAGCAGCAATCTCTATTATTCAACATCGTCAATTTTATCTTCCAGGCGATAAATTACTTGATGGAAGTATTTTGGGCATACGAGATGGGCACATTCCAAATCAAAAATTTATTTTTACATCACCCACGATCGTTTATTCGAGCTCACGAGTTTACGCTCCCATTTATACTTTTCAGTCCGAAGAAGATAACCGTGCGTATCAAGCTCAAATAGTTCTTCAATGTCGACAAAAGCCCGATTCATTTAAAGTTCAACGTGAAACAATTGGCCTTGGAAAGAAACGCATTTGTTCAGTTATACCCAATGAAAAGATGGAATATTTTACAGATATAAGACCATCAGTCGTTATTTATGGATTACTTGTGCGTGTAGGAGAAAATTTATTTTCATAAATCTTTATAGTCGAGAGACTAAACGAATACCGAATCTCATGAAGTGTTTTCTTTTTCTGTACTGCAAGTAGATTTATGTAAATAAATGTTGCTCTTCGCTAATGCAACACATTATGTGTTCATCTATTAGGAATCTGATATGAATTCAAGAGCACATAGACAGATGATCAGTCCGTCGTTGAGAAAAGCATGCATTGCTTTAGAAACTGAAAGAAGGCCACCGACTAGCATTTGATTTCTCGTTTCTCAGATACTACGAAATTTAGAATCATTATTCAGTATTTGATACGTTTTATTTTTCAGAAATATAATCATCATTTATTTGATTTGGAGCAATATGATCTCGTTTTTACCATTACGTTCGCGTGCGCCCGATGTGATTCCTGGGGAAAGCGATGGTCTTCTTGTTGTCAAACATCCTGCCCTAGCCGCTGATATACGTTCGGTGACGACTTGCATTTCTGTGCGCTCAGGAGCAATTCGGTTAATTGAATTATGATTTCTACAGTTTTCATATAAAACATATTTTGCCTGACGACGAAATCGTCTTGATACACAAATATATATGAAAAATGAATTCTAAAAATAAAAGGACCAGTTTCATGATATTAATTAAGTACAAAAGTCTTACTCCGTTGCTTATAATAGATAACGTCATAGTAACAGTATTGATTAAATTTAATTGTGCGAGAAAAGTTGGATCACGATTTGTATTGAGCGTTGAATATCCATTTGATATTGAGTAAGGAATATAAGTTAAAACATAAACACAAATTTCGACTAAAACCATCATTGTTAATTGTTTATCTAATTCACGTCGAACAAGTAGGTTTGCTCGAGTTGTTAAATTACGTGCGTTTCGAAAAGACATCACACCGAATATCACTGCAATTAATGGGAAAAGATTTCCATACGTTAGAAAATACCCATAAGTATGATATTTGAGGAAAATTGGATTTTTCGTAATGCAAACTGCATTATTTGACATTGATAATTGATTGAAATATATGCAATAAGGTATGGCATGAAGAATCCAAACGATCGCAATGGTTCCTGTGACACGATAAGCAATTTTAATGTTTGACCATTGTTGTAAACGATGACGCGAGCACGTAGCAAAGTACTGATCTGCAATAGCTAAGCATAAACACGTTATTGCACTTAAATTACATGATGCAACAATCAAATTACGAAATTGACAATAATAAAATAAAGCAAAAGACCAATCGATAGAAAATGCTGTTGATATTACTATAAATAATGTGCTGAAAACTAATCGAATAAAATTAAATATTGACATAGACATTAAATAAAATGCACATGAATTCTGTCGAAATGTTTTAAGACTTAGAAAAACAATAATATTAAATATTTCACCAATAATACTCAAAATACAAATTGGAATTGTAACATAAGTAGAAAATTGTGATCTGATATGATAGAGTGATGTGACATAGTCTGAATCCATTTTCAAAAGTCTCCAGAAGAAAGCAATGCAAGTGTTTTTGAAGTTCTATTTTATATATGATGTCGGGAAAAGAGTTTTTTCATCAAAGCAGCATGTTCCATTTTTTTACATGGATTACTGACGGAAGATATTAATTTTTGACAGGAAAGCACGCGGTGGATTAAAAAGGTTTCATCGTTATAATTAATTTGTTTTCAAACACGAAGTAATGAGAACGTTTTAAGCTTCTTTTCTCGTATTTTAGATTGGTCATTAAATCTACTTATTGTCACTCATAGAAAAACAAATAAATGGAATGATGTTTGAAGATGTTTTCTGGTTCATCATGGCCTGGTAACGCTATTATAAGAGGATATCCAGCGCGGAATAGACTTTTGTTTTATGGATTTTATATTTCTTAAAATAAACATAAAAAGTGAAATCTATGGAAATATCTTTGTTTTCAATTAAATTTGTGTAGATAAATATTCTTCTTTGTTAATACAACGATATCATCATTGCCCCATGGAATAATATCTTCTAATCGTTCATGTTGATCGTATTTGTTCGATTCTAAAAGTTTTCCATCGGCTGAAATATGAAAAAATCGGCAATCATCATGATCCATTACTAGCCATTGATCAGTATCGATTGAACAGCAACGACAACGTCCATGAATACGAGCGGACCAGAGTGTTTCCATGGTTGATATCGAACGTAGTTCGAATCGACTTTCTTCTTTATGTTTACTATAAATCGGCATGCCAAGGAAATCAGCATTGACTTTTAAGTCACATATGATTTCATCTTTTTTACAAGTTACTGGTACATGCCATTCTTTAATTAATCGAAATGATCCACCGATTTCATACTCATAAATAGCTGAACCCCACTCAACTGTTGAAAGAAATAGCGTTTCATTTGAACATGTACCGCGCCACCAATCGTGTTTGCCTGGAGTTATAGGACTTCGCTCTAATTTCATTGTTTTTTCATCAAGTAGAAGAATTTCTTTGAATGTGATTAAAATAAATCGAGATAATCGCGATGACCAACATATTCCGTGAATACCATTGTGTGTAAACGGCACCTCCTCGATGATCGATAGATTTCGATCGAGTAAACATAGATCTTTACCTTCTCGATCGACAAGGAGATGTTTTGTATTTGTTCCAACTGCACTTTCCAAACCGGATTTCAAATGAATGCTTTGATATGGATGTGATAATGGAAAGAGACGTCGTCGAATAATAAGATGTTCATCTTGGATAACTAAAGGACGAAGTGTGAATCGCTGATGTTCAAGATCATTGATTCTGATTTCTTCCAATTGAAGATCATGATTGACAGCATCGTACGATTCCTTACTATCATCATGTCGATCGATTAGATGGGTAATACGTGATTGAAGAAGATCTAATTCTTTTCTTTCATGAATTTGTCTCTTTTCAATTAGATCGTGTCGTTTTCGTTCACAGTATTCATCAATTGTACGGTATGCTTCAGCACGCCACTGTTCCAATTGTTCCAATGAGGATGGTTGCAAAGAAGACAAACGATCGCTTAACTGTTCAACAGTATCAGCTAAATGGCGAAGATTGTGCGCTGTAGACATGAGTTCGTATGTACTCAAATCGAGACGAAATTGAAATAAGGACAAATGAAGCTTTTTTCTTGTGCTTCAAAAGATAAGCTTTGATGAAAAAGAAATAAATAGCAGTATGTATGGCAAATATCTTTGCTCTTTTCTTTTATGATAAGATATGAAGAGTTGGTATTATTAGTGAATGTCATTAAACGTCAATATACCTCGAAAGGCACCGATAAAAAAAAACACTCACTGAAACTAAATAGCTTTTGAATGTGAAATGCTGGTGTACTCAGTTTTTTCCTCATTTAAAGCTGTTTCAGCATGGTTTCATAAATGCTTGATGTAATCGCCATAATGCGACATATTTTTCACCTGGCCTAATATAGTGAAAGCTGACTGCTTGTCCAAAACCATCGGGATGATCTTTGTAGCCGAAATCTGTCGAATAAAATTCAGGTGGCTGAGAATTGAATTCCTTTCTATTGACAAATTCGACTTTCGTTCGATTTTTAATACAAAGCGGAATAAATTGATCACTTTCGGCTATTCCAGGCAAAGGTCGACATTTATGAATGAATGATGGAAATTGACGAAATACACCTCTTGAAATAACATATCCTGCTCCTCCACAAAATCCTATTCCACACGTAGACTGACCAATTATCAGTAAATGTTGGGAATCGTACTGAGAAACTAATATATTCAAATTTGGCGGAGAAATAAATGTATCGTCATCCATAACCACAATCCATTTAATGTCATTTTTCTCATCGCTTTCACTTATTTTTTCAACAACAAGCGATAATCCTCGAGCTAATTTCTGCATGCTCTGACTACGGCTTATAGATTGCTGTAGTTCGCCAGGAATAACATTGTAAATAGGTAATCGACTTTCAAACGTTGTTTCACCAATGAAAAATAAACGAGAGGGGTGTATTGTCACTCCAAATGTACACATGATAATGTCGCACCGAGAGCGCAGAAAGGAATTTCCTGTCACTACCATGTAAACGATATTTCCTCGCGATTTCGATGCAGAAAAATACTTTTCTGATTTCCACAATTGATAATCTAGCTCCGTCCAACAATTGGTAAGATTCGATTGGTAACGACTGGAAGTATTGAAAATTAATGAAGACTCTGTCTCATAAAAATGATATCTGATTATCACGGTACGAAGTGGAACAAGAGAAAATAGTATAGAGATGCAAATACATACGAATGTAAAATAGATAAGAAGACGACGAAATCGTAGAATATCCATAGATTGAATCGCGTTCGTTTGTGACAACAAAAAAGAAGTTTACATCTTTTTGAGTAGTCAATGTGAATGTGCTCACCATGAATTCGTTTGTTTACATAGAAAAAAAATGGCTGACTAAATTTCATGGTCTGAAGGGTAAACAGAAAAAAAAGAACTGATGTGTGAGTTTATATTGGCATCTACTCATATATTTAAGAAGTAATGACGCCGGATTCTTCGAAGTATTTTATCACCCATACAAATTAGCTCGATGAAAGTCTGTCAATAGATTGGATAATCTCCACGAAATCTTACAGTTAAGTCACAGTCCCTGGTAGTACTGGATGCACTTCGGCGCGTAATATAATGGGAGAAGAATTTTAAACGTCTATAGAAAAGATTCAGATGATACTAATAATAATAATCGATGTTATCGATAGCCACACTTGAATTTGTTACTCTCGACAAATCACTTGCCTATGCATACACTGATGTATCCTCACGATTCTGACCAAAACGTTTGACACTTGTAGCAAATAGAACATCTCCACGACATAGATGCCTAGATCAGTTAGTGAAAATCTGAATAAAAGCTTTGTGTTGCCTGATGTCGTGAATGAATATAGAAACACCTCAATGAAGTGCCAATAAAAATTTGTTTTCGTATACGCCTATTATCCCTGCCATTTCATTAGCGGACGGTCGTATGTTCAACGACGAACACAGCAGAAATATATTGATGTTTTGATAATCAATTCATCTTCAGTTTATACACACTATATTCGTTTCATTCAGAGATTAACTCGCAGTAGCATCATGAAAGACATGCATTTCCATGTTCACGTTAACTTCACATTAAAGGTATGAATATTCGCACACCGAACTAAACATATCGTCCTTCCATCTGACAAGATAATGTCTCAAGCGATGTCTAGCGCTATCTATCGTTGGTTACAACTACCATTTACTTTAGTCCGTTCTACCGGTACGAATTGACGTCTTTGTCTTTGTGGTCATTCAGTTTGGAAATGTGTTCACAATGAGATTTATTTAACAAAAGTAGTTCAAAATCGTTTTCTAGATGCCAAACTTGTTTTTCCTTCGTGAAGAAGAATTCCATTAATCGAAATTCGATTGATGCGCTCAATTCCTGTGCAATTCCGGCCAGAATCGAGAAGAGCTGTACCGGAACCAACTCAGATTTCAACGGATCCAGTCGCCGGAATGACCGACCTGGGAATGAGTTGTTGTCATGATGATATTATGGAAAAAAGAAATCGTTGTACATGTATTTTTCACGGATAGATATACTTTACTGTCAAATGATATTCTTTCAATAAAAAATAAACGCGACGGATGTGTTATCACTCCAAACGTACGCATGATAATATCACATCGAGAACGCAGAAATGAATTCCCTGTCACTATCATGTAAACAACATTTCCTCGCAATTTCGATGCAAAAAAGTATTTTTCTGACTTCCACAATTGGTGAGATTGGATTGGTAACGACTGGAAGTATTGAAAATTAATGAAGACTCTGTCTCATAAAAATGATATCTGATTACCACGGTATGAAGTGGAACAAAAGAAAATAGTATAGAGATGCAAATACGTACGAATGTAAAATAGATAAGAAGACGACGAAATCGCAGAATATTCATAGATTGAATCGCGTTCGTTCGTGACAACAAAAAAGAAGTTTACGTCTTTTTAAGTAGTCAATGTGACTGTGCTTGCTATGAGTTTGTTTACATAGAAAAATAGCTGTTCAAATATTCAGGTATTTCAGAGTTTCAACCTTTCAAGAATTCTGGGATTCCATTATTCTAGCTCCTACCTCGCACCCTCGCCCATTTCTCTTTTTACAGAGTTTCAAATGAAAAATCAGCTTAGCACTATGGAACATTCCCATATGATATTTCAGAAGGATTTTTTTATTGATAATTGTAAAAAGTTAGAATTTTCAGTGTGAAAAATACCGATAAAGGCGAACACCATCCCGTATACACAGGGTCAAAAAATAAAATTTGGGAAGAAATTTACATTATTTAAATAGACATTCATTGAATAACATCTTTGATGTCAGGTTCTTCATCGTCAACTGTATTATCATTTGCCAATGTAATCGTGCTGAAGAATTCTTCTTTCGCATCAGCAAAATTATTTAACCATGATTTATTAATATTGCCATGAAATTCCTTTTTACCTGTGACAATTGATGCAAATGTATGATCTCGATAAGTAAATACATTGTCTATTTTATGTTTTACTAATTCTTCAACACCAAGTATAACTCGATTGATATCAAATTGAGGTGGAGAATGACATTGTGTTAGTAAATCTTGCATATAATTGATTTGGTAATAAAATTCACTTTTACCATTACCATGTTCTAATTTTTTCTCCCTTTCTTTCCATTGTTCAATATCTTGATCCATTATTTCAACATCCGGGAGCGTCACATGGCCAAGAATGACGTCACGTACAAATGAAGCTTGAATATCGAACATTGTAAATTGAAAGACTAAACTTTGCATTCCCAAATAGGCCAGATTAGGATGTTTTGACCAAATAATACCTTTGTATAAATTAGGTGGAGAAAGAACCTTCGTTTGACAATCAAGACGAAGATGTTCAGCCATAAATGGATAATCATGTATATATCCTGTACAAAATATGACACTATCGATTTCATGATCACTTTTTGTTCCATCTCGAAAATATGCAAAACGATCTTGGAAACGTATCAATAACGGGACTTCTTTTATTCTTTCATCTGGCCATTTATATCCCAAAGGCTTTGTTCGATAACTAATTGTTATAGTGCTTGCACCAAATTTATATAATTGTAAAGCAATATCTTCAGCTGAATAGCTACTACCGATAATGAGAACATGCTGATGGACAAATTGACTTGCGTCATGAAAATATTTCGAATGAAGAACATGACCAGAAAACTGTGACATTCCTTCAAATTGAGGAATATTTGGTGTTGCATAACGACCCGGTGCAACAATAACATAATCAAATATCAAATCTTCACGAGTTTTTGTTTTCAAATCCTCAACAGTCACGCGAAATTTGTTTCCTTCTTCATTATTCACATGACGAACAGCTGTTTGAAATCGAATATATTTTCTTATATCATTTCGTTCCGCTCGTCCAACAAGATAATCATACACAACTGAACGTGGCTGATATGATGGAGTAGAATGACCAAAATGTTCATCAAATGTATAATCAACACATTCAACCAATTCTTTTGGACCATTTGACCAAAGTCTATAAGAAAAAAAGATGAACTATTTATAAAAGAATTCAATAAAATACTTACTGTTTGTACATGCTAGTATGAACTGGTTCTTCAGATGTACTGGTTTTACTCTCTTCAGTATAGAACCACATTCCTCCCCATTCAGATTGACGTTCGAAACAAATTAAATCCACGTCGTCATTTTTTAAAGCAATTAATTGAAATAAGCCACATGGTCCAGCACCAATAACAGCAATACGTTTTCTCATCATTTTATAACTTGACGATCACTGCCGAGTTCGAAATTCTTCAAAAACCTTAAATATTTGGAACGTTTGTTAATAAGGTCGAAATTGGTAATTAACTACTATGAAAATCTCCACTTGTCTACATATCTACTATCGATTCGCGAAAATGGTATTTTTACATTCGGTAGAATCATATTTATACTTAAGAAGATAAAGATAACTTAACCACCTTATCTATCTTGAATTACTTTCTGTATTGGTTTTGTTTTTTTATGATCGATTTTGTGATTTTTTTATGAATTCTTAGTGGTAGTTAAATTATAGAAACAAATATTTTTCAATTATTAATTCGGTAAATATGACGAATCGGGATAGTTCTTGTCTGTTTCTTTAATACAGATATCTACGACCATTCATTAAGAATTCATTGACAACACAGTTGGAAAATCGTGAATCGATTAGAATTTAGAGAACAAATTCACAGTTGTTTGTCAATCATTCTTTTTATAAATAACCTAGGTTTATAAAAGCATAGGCGGGGCTAATTGCCTTCCTCTGGTAAGGTATACTGAGGTTGCACGGAGCGTAGACTCTACTTCAAGTTCTAATTGATAGTAAGTTCCATGTAAAACTACAGGATGTTGCAGAAAAGATGAAAAAGTCTATTACTCTCTCAACATTTTTTCAGAAAGATGGGCAACTGTCCTTCTCGCCCCTGACTGGTCTGTCAGTGCGTAAATATATCGGATTTATAACTATTCTAAATTTCCCAATAAAAAAATTTATGATGTATAAATGATCTACGTTCAGCCTTACCGGTGTTAATGATATATACTGTGAATTACTAAATAATTTTTCGTCAGACAGATTGATAGAGAGTATTTGACGAAATTTATAGCTCATCGGTCGATTATTATTTTTCCCAAGTCTTTCGGTTTATTCCATACAAGAATACTATGCATTTCATGAGTCATACACCAGTTGGTGGCATGTGTCATTACGCTCTTTCACATATATTGTATAACGACAGAAATAATGGCTCTAAAAATCACTGGCAGGAAAGAACAAATCTTTATAGAAAAGGTTCTTTCTACTGCACTAACAATTATCGATGACTGTATTCGGGTTTTTCCTTTCGCAAATTATTTGACTAGACATAGACTAACGAATATTAATAGTGTTACGAAAAGCTCAGATCCAGGACTGGTTTATATAAGAATTAATCAATCAAGACGCCATTCAAAAATTACTTGTACACAAAACTCAGGTCGTTGTGAAATAGCTGAACAATTACAACAGTTTTAGACTGAAATCGAAACTAACAGTACAAATCATGGCACTATGCTAAAAACAACTGAAGATAAAAGAATAGTTGAATTCAATCAAAAGCATCCAATGTGATTGTGTATTATCGAAAAATATCAATTTTTTAAGATAGTTTCAAGAAAAGGTCAATTCCTGCCAGCTGTATATTTGTTGCATCAGTGCCATTACGGAAATTGTTCAGAACAGAAATTGCGGTTCAAATCATGTAGATTATTTTTCTCTAAGAATGTGAGCCAAGGCTGAATTTATACCCTCATCCGAATCTCCTCCAGATATGCGTTTATTAGAAAGGGAAAACGTGAATTCCTGAATAAAAATAATTGTAAAGCGAAAAGTGAACAGAATATCATAGGATGCTCAGAAGTAAAAGACAAAAGTCTTACGTAAGATTACAAGAAATGTTCAAGAAGCAAATTATTGGAATATGACTATGGTCCTTGTTCTGGTTTGGTTGACCACAAAGGTCTGAGGCGCTCGTATTTCTTGCAGTATCTACAGTATCCTGGCCAACTCTTTCCTACATCTCCTCTTGTCCCACATCCGGAACATTCATACATTGGTTCTTTGGCGCCACAATTCACGTTCATGCAAGTATCTTTTGACTCGTCAGTAAACTTTGTACCACATTTTGTGCATTTCAGAAAGTTTGCTGTGACTCCAATCCACCAATTTGTTTGTAGTTCTCGACTACAAGCTTGTCGACGAGTTTGTGTAATATCGAGTGCTACACACTGGAATTCTATTGGATTATCTTTTACGAGTTGTTTAAGATAATGTAAACGGCCTAGAGGAATATTTCTTTGTCTATACTTTCTTACGGTGACATGTGCTTCTGGGATGCAATCCTTTGACAATTCATACAGGCAAGCATCATCGTTTTGTTCAATTGCCTCTTCGATAATGTCAAGGTAAGAACGGAGTTTACCAAATGCATTTTCAAGGTCCGTTACACCCAACGTAATAAAATTGACATCTTTCACCTTCCCATATCGCTTAGAACCTGGCTGCACATCAAGTGTGCTGCTTTTGAATCTGCATGGAAAGATTCCTTCAAAAGGCGCACAACCTGAATGTAAAAACTTCTCATTGATACGCTTCACTAAATTATTTTCCGCCATTGGAAGATTGTTTCGATCAAGTCGAAATTTAGCAAGAGTGATATGAAAATATCCATCCCAGATATCTGGTAAAGTAAACCCATCCTCGTTCGGCAATAGATACTTAAAGTAATGATTGAAAGCGTTGATACCGGTGAATTGATGAGTATACCAGCGTGAACTATAACATTTTATCCCGTGTTCAGCTGGTGCCACACGTAAAGTGACTGTATAATTACACCCTTCGAACGTAGTAGGCGACTTGTGCGACGTATATGTATCATCCTCACGATTTGGAATGGAAGAATTCCGACTACCACTGTCTTGTTTACATTGCTGACGATTTTTATTTTTATGCATGCTATTCTAGAAAATGAAATTAATTTATATGACATGAAATAGTGAATAAAAATTGAAGTGGAGTCAATTTTTATTTGTCTGATAATAAGTTGGAATTAATGAATGGAATCAATACGAAAGACAACGACTGCTGCCACGATCAATAAAATCGTTCTCGAACATTTGAAAAATTTTCTTTCTACTAAAAAAATATAACTTTTGTTCAAAATAAACTTCACTTCTTCTAGTGTTGTTATATCAATTAAGGATTGTTCAAAGATATAGCTTCAACTAATTTATCCAAAACGCTATTTTCGGGATTTGCTTGCTGAATACAAGAAGAACTAGGCTTATTACCAGAGCTTGACCAAAGAGGTTTAATTATTTCGTATTTTCCGCATGCATAACAGAACCCTTGCCATTCTTTCGATGCAATCGACGTTTGACAACCAGAACATTTTCCATCGATTTCAGTCACACCAGATAACCATTGATGTAAAGAATCTTTATTTTGCTTAATTCTGTTAATTGTTTTATCTCGTGGCTCTCGAATTCCAACATATGAACACCGAAATTCAAGTGGAAACTGATGAATTGGAACATCTTGTAGTGAATAGTTTTTATAGTTAATTTTACTATACTTTCGTATAGTAACATGAAGCTTATCATGCGATGTAACTTCCCACACACTTGGTTTCACTTTGTGTTTGATCGCTGCAAGTAACGGTCCAATTTCGTTATAGAATGCTTGAACTTCGGGAGTAGAACTAATGGATAACACAATAAAAGGAATGTTGTTTCGGTCGCTAGCACGATTTGATCCTGCAAATGTATCTAGACGCGATGCATGGAAAAAAATATCACGAATAATAGGAATATTTGCAGAGGGATAATCAAATTTGGAAAAAATATCTTTGACATCTTCAGGTGAGATATCAGTAGTAAATTTTGCAAGCGTTATATGGAAATAACCATCCCAAACATCAGGAAGTGTATAGCCGAAACCATCCGCTGGAGACAATAAACCAAAATACTGATTGAATGCACCTAAACCTTTAAATTCTTGTTGTCGTTGATCATTTCGGGCCATAATACCCATTTTAACTGGCTCTAATTGAAGATTGACAGCGTAAGCTTTCTTTTCATCATCAATTGTCTTTAGTCGATTCGGTGTCAAACCATCAGATGATTGTTGTGTAGGTTGGTTAGATATGTGATTTGTAAATCGTGAAGAACTATTATAATTGGTTGAGTCATCCTGGATTGCTCCTTGATATCTATTGTTTCTTCGTCGAGAGAAACTGTCACTTTGATAATTTGATCGTGGCCGAAAATTAAATCTACTCCACGTTTCATCTCCTCTGCTTGAGCTCATATTCGTTTGTTTTTATGTTTTTAAATATAAACTTCAATGGAGAGAATGGTATTTTTTATCAAAACCTTCGTAAACTACTGCGTCTTTTCTTTTTTTTTCTAGTGTGTCACAAGAGCAACATAAAGTCAACAAATCTTTGTCCCATGTACTAACAAAATAAGGCTATTCACACAAAAAATGATTGAAGAAATTTTGTATTTTAAGTCATCATCATCATCATCATCATCATCATTACTCGGCTGCGAACAATGGAGGTCTATGCATGCGACAACCTGTTTTAAGTACCGAAATTCATTTCGTATTGATCGAAGGATAGGCAGCAGAAAACGGAGAGAAACAGAATGTCATTATTTTCTTTGCAGGCTTTCTTCTACTTAATCAGTTTGTTTGCTCGTCAACTATATTTAGAGCGTCGAGGAATAAATTATTCGCTTGAATTTCTCCCGAATAGACAAAAAGACGAATTTACTTTAGTCAATCAATTAGAAAATAATTCCCATTCGATGCGTTAAGTATTGTGGCACAAAACCGAAAGTAATAATGCCGAAAAATCTCGAAAATCGGTGCTTCGAAAAGTTCCTATCTAGAGGATAAAAATTCCGAAAAGAGAGAACTTCGAAAAAAAATTTCGTATCATTGAAAATGTGCGTTTTTCATGCAATGAATGCGGGATTTTCTACCATCTTGACGACGTGAGGTGCGAAATAGATGAGAATGTTCATGGGCTAGATTAAGACTACCAGTATAGAAGTGAGTCACAAATATAGGAACTTTGGCAACCATTTTACTAGCTAATCTCATATTCCATAAAATACATCGTGCAGTACGTTCCTATATTCGATACTATTATTTTCGAGATTCATTATTTTCGGTGATCGTAAATTCGCTATTATTCTTCAGATGTTATTTTTTCGCTGTTTTGATTACAATTCGGTACCTTACAATGCCACAGCGAAAAAGATTTCTTTCAAGAGATAAAAAAAGACTTTTTCGTTCTTTTTAATAACTTTTTTTTATTTATTATAAGTGAATGCTTTATTTACTTACCCAACATTTTGTTACAGAACGAAAAAGATTGCGTCGTAACTGATAAATGGTTGATCATTTTTTACTTTCAACACGCAGTTAAATTCAGTATGTAACTTTTGTCTTAGTCAAATTGTAACCGTTTTAGTCATTTTAATAACTGTAAATCACTTACAATGAAAATGGAATTAGTGATGAATTGCTTTTTTTTTCTAATGAAATGGAAAAAAGAGCACGTCAAATAAATGAAGTATCAACAGTATAGTGCAAGTACAGGGTGTCCAGAAAGTCATCGAACGGAAAGAAGACTAAATATCTCCATCATTTCTCTATCAAATCAAACCATTTTTTCTAAACGGAGGAGAAATGTTCAAAGTTTTGCTTCATACAAACATCCTTGGTAAAACTATTTCCTAAGTATTAATTGTAGGCTTAAACAAAAAAATTCACTTTTTCACAGATAGGTTAGAAAGAAGTATACTCAGTAAAGAATATTTGCAGATATACCTCTATGATTGTAAAAAAGCTTGAACACATCTCTATCTTTGATCACAATATTAGCTCATGCAGCTGAATCTTGGTGAAGTTACGCAGCTTTGTTCGTAAGGAAAGTAACTTTTGCACCACTCTGTATACCTATTTTCAGACTTTTGCAAAAGTGAATTTGTTTGTTTAAGTCCACAACTAATACTTAACAAATCGTTTCACCAGGGATGTTTGCATGAAATAAAACGTTGAACATTTCTCTTTCATTTAAAATATGGTTAAATTTGATTGAGAAATGCGGAGATATTTAGTATTCTTTTTGGTCAATAGCTTTTCGGAATCCCTGTAGTTTCATTCTGTTTTCTGACAAGTATCAAGTGGGAAAGTCCATACTATATACATTTTTCCTCTTATTGCATTCAGAATGCTATAATACGAACGAAGTTTATATTTTTATTTTTGAAAAAAATTTTGTTTTAGATTTTTAATATATTACCCCGATAATCATTTATTTCATCACTGTTATACAAATGTCATATTATAACAGAGGACAACGAGGAAGAAATAATAATTATTCAAATAATAATCAACGGCCAGTTGATCTTAATGAAGAAGAGTTTCGTTTAGTTAATCAAGGACGGGATGAATTATTTGAAAAAAAGAAAACTTTTTCCATAATAACTTCACTCAAGAATTGCTCATTATTATTACGTGAAAACTTGTTTCAAGGGGATCGATGGGAAATCGAAGAGTTAATGCAATTAAAAAGACGTTTAAATGATACACGAAATCGGCTAAATGAAAAAGATATTAAAGTATGGAAACAACATACGGGTAAGACGAATATGACGGGTAAGATTGTTTGGTCATTACGAGATCAAAATCGTATTGAAATGTGCACAAATGCATGGATTAAAATGGCAGAGATATTTTCTCAATATCGAACTCTTATTCCTAGAGGTAAAACCGATGTTATAAGAAATATATGGATTTTTTTCATTTGTTTATTTTACTTAGATTTATCAGAGCATGAGCCATTTCGTAGTGTTCACGTTTGTGAAGCACCGGGCGCATTTATATGTGCAACTAACTTTTATTTTAATAAAATATGTGAAGAAAGAGATTCCCGTTCGTCTCGACGACGATGGGAATGGACAGGCCTTTCTTTAAATCCGTATTACGAAGGAAATGATCAAGAAGCAATGGTTGATGATGATCGATTTATTGTTGAAACATTAAATCGATGGTATTTTGGTGTTGATAATAGTGGAAATATATTAAACCAAAACAATATCAATGGTTTATGGAATAAAATAAACGTAAGTTTTCTTTTGCGAAGTCAGTAATAGAATAATGACTTTTTTATGAGAAACTCTTGATTAGAATGAATCGAACGCAATGGGTGTTCATCTTGTCACAGGTGATGGCTCAGTTGATACTTCAGGTGATCCTAACGAACAAGAATCGATCGTCTCTGAGTTACATTATACAGAGGCTATTTGTGCACTAGGTGTTTTAGCCAAAGGTGGTTCAGTCGTTTTGAAAATGTTTAGTTTATTTGAGTGTGATACTGTTTGTCTTCTTTATATTCTTGCACTTCATTTCAAAGAATTGAATATTTTCAAGCCGGCATCATCCCGCGCACCTAATGGCGAAACATATGCTATTGCCATTGGATTTCGTGGCATTAATAATGAGGTTCTTCAATCGTTGCTTTCATTTGTGTCATCAACCTTTCCTTCTGGTAAAGCTTTAATACCACGTCAATCGATTCCGCAATCATTTATTGATGAATTAATCAAATTCGCTGAATATTTTACGATGAAACAAATTCAAGCATTGGAACGGAACCTTGATTTAGAAAAAATTTGGAATCGTAATGTTGACCAAGCCGTATATCGATTAAATATGGATGTTGCTAAAGAATTTCGACGGCAATGCTCCATTGATTTTCATTATAAACAACGTGTGCGTATTGTCAATGATGTGTATCTGGATGGATCAGCAAAATCACTGGGAAACAGTGCTTCCCTTGTTAAGGGTGGATTGAAACAACGTGAAGGTGGAACGCTTGCAGATCGACAAGACAAAAAACGTTCACGGGAAGAATTTATATCAGATTCAAATCGGACCGAAACAGATACTCTAAATAAAAGACGCGCATTAGATCAAGGTAAAACGGTTGCCATTGGAAGTGCAGGTTGCGCAACGAGAACAGCAGATAGTGGTAACGAAACGTCTGAAATGGATACAGCTTCATCTAATAATGAACAGCAGCAATCGGTTGCAATGAAGATGATGAAGAAAATGGGTCACATAGAAGGACAAGGCTTAGGTGCACACAGTCAAGGACGATCAGCTCCAATCGAAACACTAGTGCTTAATTCTCGTCTTGGCTTAGGTCATCATAACCAACCATCGGTGTCCTCATCCTCATCCTCTTCTTCAACTGTACCAAAAGTTAAGGATGAGCCTTTATTTTCCGAATATGATCAACCAATTTCAAATCGCTCGTTTCATCTTTCATTGGATCAATCATCTGTGACAGTTGCATCCGGCTTGCGGTCAGTTCTATCATCACTTTATGTAAAATTTAGTGATTTAGAATTGCTATACAAGAAACGCGAAGAATGCCAGAAAAAGATCAGAGAACAGCACTCATCGAAAAGAGGAATATTCATTGCTGCTCAACTTGAATTATTAAATAAAGAAGAAAAATATCGAACTATTCATGGAATATTCGTCCATTATCAAACAGCATTTCAGTTAGCGACACTTGATAAACTTTTCAAATTGGTAAGAAAGCCAAATGTCACTTTTTTGATTAAATCATTCAATTTGATTGCTCATAGACGTCATCATTGCATTTGAATAATTCAACTCCATTGGCATTCTTCATCGATAATGTGTCATTCACTGGTTTTGCTGAATATCTCCTTTGGCAACAACGAGAAAATGTTCAAGGCTTCATTATATCCAATTTGAAAAATAATTGCCCAATAAACCCATATGTTCAATATAGATCTTCAATTGAATCTATTCATTCAAAATTTCATTTGTTTTTTTCTGATCTTTCAATTTTACCAATGGATCAGAAGATTAATCGACGTTATCTTGAACAATATAATAAACGTCAAATGCTAATAGCATGTCGAAATGCTTTGACAAACATTCATGAAAATGGC